GGTCCTCCTCAGTTTCAGCAAGCAGGGCTGTGTCATCTGCGTAACACAGATTGTTAATGAATCTTCCTCCAGTTCTAATGCCACATTTTGCTAGCCTCCTCGATAATCTGTTCTGCATATACATTGAAAAGTATGGAGATAGTACACATCCTGGCATACACCCTTTCCAATTTTGAACACTGCAGTGTTTCCTTGCTCTGTTGTGATGACTGCCTCCTGGTCCAAGTCTATATAATTATGCGATAGAAGAATTGGTGCCTTTTAGTTGTGGTGCTGGAGAAGAGTGGTGGATATACCATGGACTGCTAAGAAGACAAACAGGTCTGTCCTGGAGAGGGTAAAACCAGGCTACTCCTTGCAGGAAAGGATTTTAAAGCTGATTGAAATACTTTGGACATGCTTCCAGGAGGAAACAGTCCTTGAAGAAGGACATCATGCTCAGAAGGATGGCGGGACAGTGTAAGAAAGGAGATAAATCGACTCAGGGAGTAGGATAATGGGGGTAGGTATGTTGGAGATAATAAAATTAGCTCAAGATAGAGCAGGTTTCAGAGGGTTTCAGTCCCTATGTTGTACATAGGGTCTCTATGAATTACAAGCAATTCAACAGCATATGACAAGAACAATATATAAATACACAAGGGAGCTCTGGTGGCCTAGTGATAAGGAGTTGCATTGCCAACACAAAGGCATGTAGTTCAAATCTACAAGTTGCTCTCCTTTCATGTGATTTACTGCCTCTGAAAACCAATGGAGAGTCAGCTGCAACTTGGCAGCACATAACAGCATACATACATGTTTATTAATATGTGTGGAGATAAATTGCTGTTGGGTGCCATCAGTTAACAATGACTCATAGTGACCAGAACAGCACATCAGAATCTGCACCGTTTTCATAGTCTCTGCCATGCTCAAACCCACTGTGGTAGTTACGGTGTCAATTCACCTCATTGGTGGTATTCCTGTCTTTTACTGACCTTCTACCTCTCTCAAAATATCTCTTTCCCAGAACTGGTTCCTCCTGAAAATACACCGAGAGTAAGTGGGTGTAAGCTTCAGAGTAAGCTTCACCAATCCTTGCTTCTAAGGAGCACTCTGGATGCAGTTTCTCTAAGATAGGTTATTTCTTCTTTGACAGTCCACTGGATATTCAATACTCTTCACTTAAACCACAATTCAAAGGCATTGCTGCTTCTCTGTCATCCTTATTCATTGTCCAACTTTGCATATGATGGACTTGAAAAATACATGGCTTGGATAAATCATACCTTAGTCTTTAAATTGACATCCTTACTCTTTAGAACTGTAGACAGGTCCTCAATAGATTTCCTCAATGCAGCACTTTTGATTTTTTGACTGCTGCTGTCACAGGTGTTGATTTGTGGATCCAAATAAGATGAAATTGCTTGAAATCTTCTATCTTTTCTCCATCTATCATAATGTTGCCTACTGATTCAGTGGTATGGAGTTTTGTTTTATTGATTTTGAGATGTAACCCATGCATCTCGTTGCTCTGTGCACTACAGAAATAGCCGGTATTGTTATACTTTGAACATTTTGCCTGCTTTTAAAAAATCACATGTAGTTAATGTATTGATCTCAGAAAGTTCAAAGGATGGAGTAAGGAAAGGGAGAGGGAGAATTGAGTAATGCCAAGAAAGGGTGCTTTAAGAGTTAGAAAAAACTTAAACTGATGGGATTCAACTGCACATGAAACAACTGAAAAGACCATGGTTTATATAAGGCATATCATAGTCTCTGAGCTGTTATATATATATATATATATATAAATTGAAGTGTAAAAGATCTGTACCAAGGTCACAGAACTACCAGGTTAAAAACCAGAATGTGGGTTTTCCACTTTCAAATTCAGTCTGTTCACAAACCAACACAAATGCTGCTTCTGTTTCTGGTTCATTTTTCAGGAGGGCTCCATCTTCCCCTTAAAATTTTCTCTGTGCACCTGAGGACCTGGCATAAGGTTTTCTTCATACCTTTACCCACTAAGGGGGCAGTCCAGTTGTCCTTCTGGTCCACATCTCAACAATCACATTCTTGGCTCTTTTACTCACAAACCTCTACTTCTTTCTCAAAAATCCCTCAACTCACCTTCTGTAAAATGCAGAGATACACTAAGGCCATTTATAAGGGGGGATCTTTCCAGTCCGGACTGACGAGATAGCAATGGGATTTGTTTTGTTTTGCTTTTAAATTAAAGAAAGATGCCCTAGTGGGGTGAGGGAGGTTGGAGTTTGAATCCACCTGTTGCTGAGGGGTCGGGCTGGGAAAGGGCAGTTTCAGAAACTCCACTGCAAGTAGCTTTGAGTCAAATCACTTGATGGCAGTGAGTGAGCAAGTGAGTGAGACTACTTAGTGGCTCACTTGGTGGCTTAGTGATAAGGAGCTGTGTGGCCATCCCAAAGGAATGTGGTTCAAATCCACCAACTGCTCTGAAGGAGAGTCGGACAATCTCTTCCTGTAGGATTTACTCCCTCTGAAACTTGGCTGGAGTGAGAGATATGGATCGCTTCCAACTCTAGGTACCCAACAACAGCAGCCAGTCAGCAGTTCGATTCCATCAGCTTCTCCAAGAAGCAGCGATGGTCAATCTCTTCTTGTCCGCAACTAGATTATTACTTATTATTAAGTAATACTTTATATTATTTAGGTATAAATAATATTTATTTATTTATATTAATACTTAATAATACTTATTATTAAGCACACCAACACAAGCCAGCAGTGTCAGTGATCACAAGGATTATTTTTCAATTTCCTCTTCAATAAAATAGCCATAATATTGTTGTTGTTATGTGCTGTCGAGTCGCCTGCGACTCATAGCGACCCTATGTACAACAGCCCTAAACTCTGCTCTGTCTTGTGTCAATCGTACTATCTCTGACACTCCCATCCCAATTATCCCAGTCACTGAATCAATCCACCTCATAGAGGGCCTTTCCCTGCTGCGCTGTCCCTCCACCCTCCCAAGCATGATGCCCTACTCCAAGGACCGGTCTCTCCTCACAACATGTCCAGAGTATGTTAGACGGAGCCTCAGAATCCTTGCCTCCAAGGAGCCACCCGGTTTAACCCTTTCCAGGATGAATCTGTTTGTTTTCCTAGCAGTCCATGGTATTCTCAATACTCTTCTCCAGCACCACAACTCAAAGGCATCAATTCTCCCTATCCTCCTTGGTCATTGTCCAACTCTCTGATGCATAACAAGTGATTGCAAAGACCATGGCCTGTATCAGACGCACCTTAGTCTCCAGAGAGACACCATTGCTCTTCAGTACTTTGGAGAGGCCCCTAACAGCAGACTTTCCCATCGCAATACGTCTTTTAATTTCCTGGCTGCTGGTGCCAAGAGTGTTGACTGTGGAGCCAAGTAAACTAAAGCTGTGTACAATCTCAATCTCTTCACCATCCATCCTGATGCTGCCAGTTGGTCCAGTGGTGAGAATCTTTGTCTTCTTGACATTGAGCCTCAATCCATATTGTAGGCTGCAGTCCTTGACACTCTGCAGCAGGTGCTTCAGGTCCTCTTCAGTTTCAGCAAGCAGGGTTGTGTCATCTGCATAACGCAGATTGTTGATAAATCGTCCACCAATCTTGACTCCACATTTCTCCTCATAGAGCTCAGCCTCCCGGATAATCTATTCTGCATATAGGTTGAAAAGGTATGGAGATAGGATGCATCCCTGGCGTACGCCCTTCCCAATTTTGAACCATGCAGTGTTCCCTTGCTCTGTTCTGACGACTGCCTCCTGGTCCAAGTATAGGTTTCGCATTAGAACGATCAAGCCATAATACCTACCTTATAAACTCTGGTGCGAGTTACGCTGCCAACCCAAAGGCTGCAATCCTCTGGCCATTCGAATACAGAGACCCTGTAGGACTAAGATAGGACCATCTCCTCCTCTGTTTTACAGCCTTGAAAACCTGAGGGAGTTCCAACTCTACAACTGTGAGTGACCTACTTCCTAGGGTTGACATATCAAATTAACACATCGAGTGAGATAATAAACCTGCAATGTACTTAGGGGTAAGGAGTACTCAGCAGAGGGTTAATTCTATTTAATAAATTTATCTGGCGCGTACAGTGTGCCAATCACTCTTTCAGGTGCTTTCCCCAAATGCTGAAAACTCAAAATATTCCTCACCTTAGAGATGCAAAAACTAAGACACAAAAGACTAATTTAAAGTTCCTTAATAGTGTATGGCTAAAGTGGAATTATAATTCCCTCAATCTCGGCCCCAAATTAGTGCTCTCTGCTCAACTGTTTCTCCAAAGTGTTGATTTATGAAGAAACACTAAACTGCAAAACGCTCTGCCACTGGTAATTAGTCACTTGCAGTAAAATAAGGTCTTTTACGCTTCCTCAAAGATTTACTACAACTCAGCAATTGCAGAAACAAAAGCCTAATCACTTTTCACTGGCAGCGCCTTTCCAGCCGCCTCAGAACCGAGGCCACGCCCCTTCGCCTGGGCACGCCCCTTCCCGCCCAGCCGAGGCACGCCTCGCCGAGCTAGCCACGCTGGCCCCGCCCCTCGGCTGCTGCGGCGGAGGCAGAGCGGGCGCCTAGCGGCCGTCCACGTACACACTCCAGCACCTCCCCTCTTCTTCCCCCCTCACCCTTCTCTCGAGAACACATCCGGGTCGCTATCGCAGGTGCCTCAAACCCCGCCCTATTTCCCGAAACACTCTCTCCTCTTCCGGCCGCCACAGACCTCTTCCGCTTGTTTTCGGCCGGTTATATTCCTTGTTTAGGCGAGCCCAAGTGGCTTTTGTAACTCTCCCTGAGTCCGGTCGTTTAGCCCTCCCTACCCGGTCCCAGCAGCTCGCTGCTTTTCCCTAATTTCCTGGAGGTTCGGAGAGACTTTGCGGGTTCTGCATTGCGTTTTCGGGCAGAGGATCGGGCCGAGGCCTGCCGCGTATACCCGACCCCGTAGCGTCTTCTCGCAGCGTCGTTGGAGCCGCTGCTGCTGCCGCCTCGGAATGCTACGGTCGGGGTCCGCGCAGCTCTGGGCAGCCGCAGCGGGCCGCTGGGGCTGCAGGCTGCTAGCATTGCTGCTGCTGGTGCCGGGGCCCGGCAAAGCCTCTGAGATCACCTTCGAGCTCCCCGACAACGCCAAGCAGTGCTTCTATGAGGACATCATACTGGGCACAAAATGCACCCTCGAGTACCAGGTACCACGGGCCCTGGAAGTGTCGGGCCCCCAGCTTCCTGGTCAGAGCTGCAAACTAGGGGTTGCCTCTCGCCTCTTGTGTTTTCCTGTCCTTTACTAGTTTCAAGAAGCACCTCTTGAGAACGAATAGGAACCATACATTTGATTTTCCCATTCTAAACCGTTAAGGCTGGATTTAATGAGTTCCAGAAATGCTGCCCTAGCCCTGACTTTATATATATAATTTTCTTCTCTCGAATAGGATTTGATTTCCTTAGCACCAGATAGCCGTTTCCCACACCTGGTCCACATCACCACTTAAATCATCTTTGAAGCAATGCCAGTTTCTAACTCCGTTGCTTTTCCGGTTACACGTTTAGATTAGGACGACTGGTTAATTATTCTTCATAGGAGAGTTCGATTAAAAGCCAAATGACCATCTCTCAGAATACTGTTGTAATAAACGAATGAGTTTAGAAATTATATCGAAGACAAACTTTATTATCGTTTCTTAGGGTCGTCTTTTACTCTTTTCATTTTTTGCTGGTAGGCTCATTTTATACATTTGAGCAGCTGTTGATTTCTAGATGCTGGTGGTAGAAGAGTGATCAAAGGAGATTAAAGAGTTGCTGTCATCCTTCACTACTACCCCCCATCCTCATTGCGCATTCATTGCAAGTTTGTGCTTTGAGACAAGAAAATAGGGGATATGTGACCTGGTGTTTAGAATCCATGAAGGCTTCCTTTAGAAAGTGATCTGAAGTGGAAGTTTAAAGGGTGAATTATAAATAACTGGTAAGGAAGAAGAGAGAATAAAGCCTTTGTGAGAATCTGGAAGTATGGAGTATGGTTTGAGAAAAAGGAGCTAGAATAGTGTAGATGATGACGTTTGGGAGGCCAGTAGGACCTTTTTGACCATGTTAAAAGGTCTTTGCAGTGATATGATCAGAATATGATACAGAGTAGCTGTATAGTGTAGAGTGGACGAGAGAGACCAGTTAGGATAGTGTTGTATTTCCTGTTATATGCTGTTTGAGTTGGAAATAACTCCTAAGTGACCCTCCAGTGATTTTCAAAGTCTGTAAACGGCATGGTTAGGGCAGGGTTCAGAGCTTTTGTACCTAGGGTCACTAGGAGTCACGGGCTACTTGATGGAACAGAACAGCAGCAAATCATATGGGAAGCGATTGCCCACCCGTCTCCCTCGGAACAGCTGGTGGAGTCTATCTGCCTTTGGGTTGGCAGTGCAAATCCTTACTCATTAGGCCACCAGAGTTCCCAGTTACAGCTTGAGGGTAGAAAAGGAAATAACACAGATTGCAATGTAAAGATTGGGTCAAAATTGTATTTGCCTGAAAGTAAGCATTTTAAAAATTCTTATAAATGCAAAATACCAATAGTGGGATTTAGAAGAGGCTGTGGCACCAGGAATATCATTACTCATGTCATATGGATCCTACTAAAAGTAAGGAATACCGGAAGAATGTCAGTTTGTGCTTTATTGACTATGCAAAGGCATTTGTGTAGATCATGACAAGTTGTGGCTGACATTGTGAAGAATGGGAATCCCAGAGCATTTCCTTGTACTCATGAGGAAACTATACCTGGAACAGGAGGCAGTTAGGCAGAGTGAGCAAGGGAGCACTGCATGGTTTGAAATTGGGAAAGGAGTGTGTCAGGGTTGTATTTTATATCCCTATCTATCCAATCTGTATGCTGAACAAATTATCGAAGAACCTGGATTGTAAAGAGGAATGTGGTATCAGGATTGGAGGGAAATTCATCAATAAACTGCGTTTATGCAGATGACTCAACCTTACTTGCTAAAAGTGAAGAGGACTTGAAATTACTTGTTGCAGAAGATCAAGGAATGCAGCCTTCAGTATGGATTCTGTCTCAATACCAAAATAAATATTCTTACCACTAGTGCTAGTCCATTTGCTATACAGAGGCAACTCATGGTTGCTCTGATGCTGAACACTGTTACACTGTTGTGGCAAAAGAGGTAGTGATTACCCAGGGTGGATAGGGTTGGTGCAGCTCCCCCATTAAAACAAGCTTGGAAGCAGGAGTGGCGTCCACTTCGGAAATAGCTTGCCTCTGTAAACCCTATGAACTTGGAGAAGTGCAGAAAGTTATACAAGTGTTCAGGTCTTTCGTTCATAAGATCACTATGAGTCACCTACGACTCCATGGCACTTAACAAGAAAAACATAGAGCTCAGTGGGCCTAGTGGACAGAAAGTGATGCTATTAAGCCAAAGGTGGGTGATTTTAATCTATAGCCCTCAGGCCTGGTTTTAATTGTTTTTGGTCAAACATTCTTCTGGGTTGTATAGCACTGGTCCATTTGCTGTACAGAGGTAACTTGTGGTTGCTGTGATGGTGAACACTGTAACACTGATGTGTCAGATGAGATAATGGTTACCTAAGGTAGACAGTGTTTGGTAGAGCTCCTCCACTAAAACAAGCTTGGAAGCAGAAATGACATCCACTTCTGAAATAGCTTGCCTCCGGAAACCATAAGAACTTGGAGAGGTGCAGAAAGTTATACAAGTGTTAAGGTCTTTCGTTCATAGGGTTGCTGTGAGTTGTCTATGACCCAACAGCACTTAACAGACCAATAGACAGTATCATGGTGGATGGAGAGGAGATTGAAATTGTCAGCAGCTTCATTTTGCTTGGATCCACAATTAACATACTTGGTACGAGCAGTCAGGAAATAAGAAAATCCATTGCACTGGGAAAATCTGCAGTTAGGGACCTGTCCAAATTATTGAGGAGTAGTGATGTCAATTTGAGGACTAAGGTGCTTCTGATTCAGGCCATACTCTTTCAGATTACTAACTATGCATCTGAAACCTGGACAATGGATAAGGATGACAGAAAAAGACTTGATGCCATTGAGCTGTGGTGTTGCAGAAGAGCACTGAACATCCCACGGATGGCCAAGAGGACAGACAGACAAGCCTTGTAGAGGTTGCAGCTGGAGTGCTCTTTGGAGGCAAGAATGATGCGGCTTCACCTCACATACTTTGGACATGTTGCTAGGAGGTGCTATTCCTTGGAGGGAGACATTATGTTGTTAAAGGTGGAGAGTCAACAATGGAGAGGAAGACCCTCAACCAGGCAAATTGACATGGTAACTGCTGCAGTGGCCTCTTGTGTGTCCTGAAGTGTGAGGATGACACAGAACAACTGGGTTGGGATCTTTTGTTCATAGGATCCCTATGAGTCATATTCGATGGCACCCAACAACAGCAACTTAAATGCAGATATTACATTTGTTTCTGAGAATACTACTCCTGTGTACTAAAAAATAACATCTCTTACATGTTAGAGGGTGTGCCAAGCATTTCAGGTGTATTATTTCTCAGTACAACCCTGAAATAGGTATAGTTCTTGGTCCTGTTGTACAGATCAACAGTTTGGGCTGGGTTAAGGCACATAGTCAGAATCTTAGCAAGTTGCAGAATTAGTGTACAGCCCTAGGTTAAGTTCTTGATAGTTTTTTTACGTTGTTGTGTGCCATCAAATATATTCCTGAGCAGTGATGTCACTCTAGAGCCTAAGGTGTAGCAGTTCCACGTCATAGTCTTTGCAGTTATATGCTATGCATCAGAGAGCTGGACAGTTACTGAGGATGATAGAAGAATTGATGTCTTTGAGCTGTGGTGCTGGAGAAGAGTATTGAATATACCATGGATTGCTAGGAGAACAAACAGGTTCATCCTAGAGAGGTTGAAAGCAGGCTGCTCCTTGGAGGCAAGGATTCCGAAGCCTCGTCTGACATATTTTGGACATGTTGCAAGGCGGGACCAGTCTTTGGAGAGGGATGTCATGCTTGAGAGTGTTAAGGGACGCACAAGAGAGGAAGGCCCTCAATGAAATGGATTGATTCAGTGACTGGAGTAATGGGGGTAGGTGTGCCAGAGACAGTGAGATTGGCACATGATAGAGCAGGATTGAGAGCTGTTTTAAACAGGGCCACTATGAGTTGCAGGCGACTTGATGGCACATCACCACAGCAACAGCAAGTACCAAATCTTCTAAATAAATAACATAAGCTGTTAAATGCAGCACTAAATCTACTCTTTATAGAAAAGAAGGATTGTGAAGGAAAATTTAACAGATACTTGAGCTGAATCTGGAAGGATTAGTAGGAATTGCTCTACTGTATTCCAAAGGACCCCTGATGGCACAGTGGTTATGTATTTAGCTGCTAATTGACAGATCTGTGATTCAAACTTGCCAGCCATTGTTGTTGTTGTTAGGTTCTGTCAAGTCGCCTGTGACTCATAGCAACCCTGTGTACAACAGCCCTAAACTCTGCTCCGTCCTGTGTCACTGTTTCTGACACTCCCATGCCCGATTTACCCCAGTCACTGAATTAATCCACCTCATAAAGGGCCTTCCCCTCCTGTGCTGTCCCTCCACCCTCCCAAGCATGATGTCCTTCTCCAAGGACCAGACTCTCCTCACAACATGTCCAGAGTATGTTAGACAGAGCCTCAGAATCCTTGCCTCCAAGGAGCCACCCGGTTTAACCCTTTCCAGGATGAATCTGTTTGTTTTCCTAGCAGTCCATGGTACTCACAATACTCTTCTCCAGCACCACAGCTCAAAGGCATCAATGCTCCTCTTATCCTCCTTGGTCATTGTCCAACTCTCTGTTGCATAACAGGTGATTGCAATGACCATGGTCTGTATCAGACACACCTTAGTCTCCAGCGAGACACCATTGCTCTTCAGTACTTTGGAGAGGTCCCTAACAGCAGACTTTAATTTCCTGGCTACTGGTGTTGAGAGGGTTGACTGTGGAGCCAAGCAAACTAAAGCTTTGAAAAATCTCAATCTCTTGACCATGCATCCTGATGCTGCCAATTGGCCCACTGGTGAGAATCTTTGTCGTCTTGACATTGAGCCTCAGTCCATATTGGAGGCTGCAGTCCTTGACCCTCTGCAGCATGCGCTTCAGGTCCTCCTCAGTTTCAGCAATCAGGGTTGTGTCATCTGCATAATG